GAATAGGCAGTTGTCAGTTGTAATGTATTAGGTCTCTCTTAGTTGGACTGTGTTTGTAGACCTTTGTTTTTTCGGATAAGTTAGCGTATTCAGAGTAGCTATGTGGATTTCAGCTGGTGGTGGGTTTGTTGTGATACCTTGTGGTTTTGTAGTCGCGCGATAAAAAAGGAGTAGGTAGTGGGTTCCAGCTTGTAATGGTGTGTAGGACTTGCCGGTTGTCATTAGCGTTTCAGGATAGTAGTTGGCTTTCAGCTTGATGGTGTTTGTAGCCTTGTTGGTGTTGTATTTGGCGTTTCAGGAGTAGTAGTTGGTTCAGTTGATGGTGTTGTAGACCTTGTGGTTTGTAGTTGGCGTTTTCAGGAGTAGTAGTGGGTTCCAGTTGATGGTGTGTCAGAAGCCTTGTGGTTGTGGTTTGGCTTCAGGAGTGAGTAGTGGGTTCAGTTGGTGGTGTTGTTAGAACCTGCTTTGTGTTTTAGTTGGCGTTTCAGGAGTATGTAGTAAGTTTAGTTGTTGGCTCATCGTGCTTCACCGCTGGACACGGGTACATGCTGATTATTTCACAAACACCCATGATCATTGATCATATAGTTTAGAAGGCATTTTCGTGGACGGTCCTTGGACGTGGTCCTTTTCCTTTACATATTAAACCATATTTTCACATCCACAAGTAAACATTTTGGCCAGTTTTCCACTTACAAACTCAGTGAGTCTTTGTCAAGCGGCCTTTTTCTGACCTGCAATCCCAATCTTGCTTTGGGTTTTTGCATATTTTTTTACCAACACTGCGTCTTATGTTCTCATATGTTTTTCCAATCATTTTGTTTCCGACCTGTTGCATCACTGGGACAATCATACCACTCTGGACCAAACGGCCAGGATTCACTAAATCATACAAGGAAGTAGTAGAAGATATTGTGGCCTTGTAAATCATTGTAGTAGAAGGATTCAAGTTGACTGGTGTTGTAGCACCGTTGCGTGTTGTAGTATGGGTTTCACGTTGCACGTAAGTAGGTTTAGTTGATGGTTTGTAGAACCTTGTGGTTGAGTTTCAGCGTTCTCAGGAGTAGTAGTAGTTTAGTTATGGTGTTGTAGACCTTGTGGGTTGTAGTTAGCGTTTCAGGAGTGAGTTAGGTGGGTTCAGCTTGTGGGCTCTGTACAGACCGTTCTTCGTGAGTTTTGTATTGGCGTTTCAGGAGTAGTAGTGGGTTCATGTTTTGATGGTGTTGTAGACCCTTGTGTTGTAAGTTAGCCGTTTCAGGAGTCAGTAGTTTGGTTTTAGTTGTTTGGTATGGTGTTCACTGGAACAGGGTCAATGTATTATTTCACAACACACATAATCTGATCATATAGTTAAAGCATCTTTCGTGGCACTCTTGACTGTCCTTTTATTACATATTAAACCAAAATACTTTCACATCACAAGTAACATTTTGGCCAGTTTCACTTAACAAATTCAGTGAAGTCCTTTGTCAGGGGCTTTTCTGACCTGCATTCAATCTGTGCTTGGGCTTTTTTGCATATTTTTTACCAACTGCGTCTTAAATGTTCCTCAAATAAATGTTCCCAAATCACTTTGGTTTCTGTTGCATCATGGGACACTCATGACCCACTCTGGACCAAGACAAAACACCTAGAATTAATACCAAGGTAGTCGAAGATATTGTGGTTGTCAATTCAGCGTTGTAGTAGAAGATCCCAGTGAGTGTGTCTGTAAGAACCTTGCTGGTGTAGTTGGGGTTTCCAGTTGAGTAGTAGGTTTAGTTGATGGTGTTGTAGACCTCTGTGGGTTTGTCAGTTAGGCGTTTAGAGTAGTATAGCGTTTAGTTGATGGTTCTTGTAGACCTCTTGTGGTTGTAGCTTAGCGTTTCAGGGAGTAGTACTGGGTTCACGTTGGTGCGGTCTGTAGAACTTGTGGTTGTACGTTGGCTCAGGAGTAGTAGTGGGTTCAGTTGATGGTGTTGTAGACCTTGTGGTTGTAGTTGGCGTTTCAGGAGTAGTAGTATTAGTTATAGTTTCACATGTCTCCACACACATGTTGTTCTTCTCATCAAAAATGGGCTCATCCTCTGGACAGACAGGGTAACAACCTGTAAAAATCACAGCATAAAACATCATACATTATTTTATGACACTAAAAACATTATTTACATTGTTACATGTCTTTATTATTATTGTTTCTTTGAAACTGGAACAGGACAGGAGGTCCTGAATCCCTTTTCTGATTTTGTCACATCACTTAAAACTATAGCTAGCACGTTAAACAGAGGTAAGGTGAGACATTGTGAGTTAACCTCTTACCTTCCAGGTTGGGTATATGATTGCTACACATTCCTTGAGGATTCAAACAGGTCTTGTAGCAAGGTGTGTGACAAGAGTGGTAGTGCCACTTGCATTCTTCTGGACTGTTGTAATAATCACAAAAGACAGCTAGAAAGAAAAGATATAAGGTTGTATTTTTAAATAATAAATAAAGGAAATCAAATAACTACACCTGATACATTCTTACATTATAGTTCTTTTAGTCCAGAGGATTAAGCTTTAACTAAATATGGAAAGCTATCTCTCAATTCCAAATGACAGAAAACCATCATAGATGATGACAAAATGAAATTCTTCCTTTTGAATAACAAACTAGAATCCAGTTAAAGGTCCAAGATTTAGTGGCATCTAGCAGTCTAGTTGCAGATCACAACTCACTTTGCCCTCCCTTTCCACGCGCAAAGGAGCAACTATAGGGGCTGTGAAAAACGCAAACGGCCCTATCTAGAGCAAATTTTTAGTTTGTCCATTCTTGGCTACTGGAGAAACAAGGCGATGCGCTCCCTCTCTCGATAAAAATGTCTCAATCTTAGGTAAAGAAAATACAACAATTCTTATTTTCAAGTGATAATACACTAATAAGATATAATAATGAATATTATATTCAATTTCTGCCAATAGATCATCCTAAACTTTATACACTAGCCCTTTAAAATTAGGACTAAAAGTAGTACAGTATATGGCTGTCCGCACGTTGCTGTAAAGTTTTGTTTTTGCTTGACTCAGTGTCCCCAGCATAAAGGTGTGTGCACCTTGATGATTCTACATGCTCATTTGATAATAATTAAGTCATTAAAATTACTAATCACTGTATACATAATTCATTGCAGTCTTTAAAAATATTATTTTCATGAAGCATGCACTGATGCCCATAGAGTCTCTGTCATACATATCCGATTTGACTGCAATTGATTCATTCACATATTAAATATATAATAAAAAATAAACAAGGTGGAATATGTCCTGAAGAAAACAAATATCACCCACATCTTGACAAATCTCTAAATGCTGGGATTATCGTCATCACATTTTTGGATCTAAAAACAGCGTCAGGGTTCGAATCCGATCCCCTCTCTCTGCCCCACTTTCCTGTCTGTCTTCAGCTGTCACTATCATAAAGGCAATAAAAGCCCAAACAAATACTTACAAAAAACAAAACAGTGTCTTGGCCAGAAACCTCAGTTTAATGTGAGGAATAGTATACTTACAACATATTTCTGGAGTTCTCCATGCAATACAGACACCAGCCTCAATACAAGCTTGAGCATAAGCTGCAACTGCTGTGCAGAAACACTCACAGTCTCCTCCAGTGTCACAGGCACATGAGTCTTTTATGCAGTTATCATGAAATGTATGGTAATCTACCTGTAATCAAAATATAGGATATATTTTAGAAAACAAAGAAAGAAAATGTGTTTAATGTTTTCAGAACTGTAAATAATGATAAATTAAAAACAAATCTGTCATTACCTTTTTATGGCAGTCTTTGAACGTGTCTCCAGTTATAATGCTGCACTTCTTTTTTGCCCACGTGTGTCTATTGTTTCTTTCGACACAAGGGTCAACATTCACATCCACATCTAAGCAGCTGCTTGACACTTTCCAGCTGTTTGCAAATTCTAACTGATTGCTCACTGTCAGCTGACCGTTGGTGGTGAAGTCATTCTGTCCATTACCATCAAAATTTCCACACAGGCCACATACCTCTCCCTGAGAAGTCAGACAAAAGGAGTCAGTGATTTTACAAGAGGACAAGATTCAATATTATTTCTCTCTGGCATTTCAAGTAACAAGCAGGCATTCATATAATTTATTCATGACTTTCAGTTTACAACCAATCATCATCATTATCATCCACTATGTTCGTAACTGGAGGAAGGCAGAATGGGCAGACAGCTATGCATATAAGGGAAAAAATGTAATATCCCAACAAAACTGTTGCTCTGCAGTCTTATTATAAGAAATCTAATTTATTATTATCAGTTATGTGCTCATTTATACTGTGACTCACGCTGTGCTTTGGATCCAGGAGGATGCGAACAGTTGTTTTTTTATCCAGAATAACCGTCAGACCAATGGCAGATTCTATCACCAGATACAAGCCAACCTTCCTTATTTTGTACTTAATATGAGGGCCCTTTCCCATGTCCTCCTCTTCATATTTACCCATTGATATTTTGACTTCCATTCGCTGTAATATTGAAGTTTTCAGTTATTTGAATATGTATTTAAAAAAAGAAGATACAATTAATCAAACATTTGATTAATTTAATTAGAAATGCATATTTTACTTCATTTAACAACTAAAAACAATAATACATATCAGATGTTGGTATGAGGTCTTACCCCGAGTTGGACTTTGACAGTTTTGGTGCATGTGGTGCCTGTAGATCCACATGGTACATTTTCTGTGATAACTTTAAAGTTTTCCTGCACCGTTTTTTTCCCACATTTGTTCTTAAAAGAGAGAGATTCATTAAACATTTTGCTTGTTTGCTTCATAGTAGACAGAGACCACTGATCAAATCAAATTTCAGCTTGGCCTACTAGTCCACAATACTGTAGCTGTAATACATCAAATAAAAGTGTAATTGATCCCCAGCAAGATCATTTAGTTATCTGCTTTTTTTATTCATATTGCTTAATATGACAATCACTCATCTTAAAGTGAATGGAGCTAAACATACCATAGTTGATGCAAACATTAAATATTGACTTTTATGTTGTTGTTTATGTTTTATGATGTTCAAAATTAGTAATAAGTTAAAACTTTCTAAATGTAATATCTTTGAATTTCTAAAATGAAGCCAGCCTGAGACAACATAATTGTTTACCTTGACAGCAACATAGTCACAACGTCCCTGAAATCCATATGTTTTCTGATCAAATGTGGTGTAGTGACCACTCCCGTAAATAATGCAAGTTCCTGGACATTTATTCTCCGTGCACTTCCAGTTTCCACCTTTGCAAGTACTAGATATCACCCAAAATCACAGAAATGATTAAAAATACAAAATGCAGTTAAGTAAAACATGTAGGCAAATATGATAATATTTGTTCACCATGATATGTCTGAGTAAAAACCAAGTCATACCAGTTGTTGCACTGGTTAGTGGTTTGTGTTCCAGGGGGATAAAGACTCCCATCATGCTGACATGGACATTCATTTTCTTTCACACAGGAACCTTTGCCATCATCAAGGAGACTGCTTGGACACTGACAGCCAGATTTACACTCTGTGGAGTCCTGGGGAGAAAGAGAGATCACAGTGACAGAAAGTACAACTAATACTGTTAAAAATTGTTTAAAACTCTCTAGAAACTACTGTAGAAACTAGTGTAACTAAACAGATTGTGTTGCATCTGCAATGTAATATACTGTCAGCCAATAAAATTAGGATATAAATATTAGATCCAGTAATTTGAGACAAAATGGCAAAAATAGCTCACACAATCATCGTTGTCCAGATTTGAACAAGTTCGAGCACACTGAAGTCCAAACTCTCCTGTGCCCGCAGTGGAGCAGTTGAAGAATACTTTTGGTAAAGTGCATACTGTAAAAATAGACAAAGACGGGGAGACTAGTTTAATATTACATAAAATAAATAAACTGAAACCCTCGTGTAGTAATAACACAAAAAACGTACTTGATGAGCGGGCACTCCGAGGATGGCAATGAAGTATTCCATTGGTGCACAAGCTAGGAAAAGATACCAAAGATATAAGATGCCACACAAAGAATTTCATCGATTTGAAGTCCTGTGACACCAAATTGGAAACAATTGACTTACCAGTGCTCGTCTTTGATGCTGATAGACTTCCCTGAATTAATGTAGACTTCATTATGGTAGCAGGAACATTTTTCCATGGGGACGCAGATGTTGTTTTCATTTAAGTACTGACCCTCAGAGCAGGAGCAGCCATCCACGGGCAAGAAGTCAGAAGTGCAGCTCTGCTGCTTTGAGCCTAGTGATCTGCAAGTCAACTGGCATCTCTGATGATTGTATGAGAAGATCTGAGATGCTGGGCAGCTCCTTGTGTATTTATCTGTACACAATGTTAGGATTGTTACTTTTATGACTGACTAACAAAAGGGATCATTAAATTCCAGAAATCCTAATTAAACTTTCCCACAGCATAATGAAAGAAATCCTTACCGCACACATTCTCTCTCCAGTCTGTCAAGAACACTCCCTTTGATCCACAAGCATGTGTGTAGGAGGAGAAGACAGCACACAGGCAGGCTTCACTCTTCTCACAGTTACAGCTGGCATAAATACATCGCTGCAGAAGACAGCAAACACTTTTAAAGAATTACAGTTCCATCAAAACTTAATTCAGTTAAAGACAAACCGCAAAAAAGGTTTAGCCATACCTTGTAGTACATCTCAGGATCCACCTCTGAATGGCACTGTGCAAAGGTGCTGTTTGGACTTAGTAGCAAGGCACACCAGTGTTTGGCATAATTCTCTAAGAGTGGATGAACAATCATTTTTCATTTGTGATATTCATTGAAACAACATACTTAAAAAATAAACAATTGCATGTAGACTATAACGCAGTTAAGTTAAACAACAAAAGTACACACTGCTGTTTACCATTTTCCACACTGAGGGAACAGGGGTCATCGAGTCTTTCCTCTGTGTCTCTGCACACGTGGTTTGCTTTCCAGGAGTTAGTAAATGTTGATGCTGTTCCTTCCACAATCCCCTGAGGAGTCTTCATGTCATCAGACAAAACCATGTTGTAGTTCCCACATAAACCTAAAGAAACCAAATATTATCATGTTCAATCGTGTCCATGTGTTCGACACTACTTATGTACATGTATTGAGGTTCTTTCATTGTACAGTAATATGTGGCAGTTTTATTTTAGTTTTCAGCACGTTTTTCCCCCATCTATTACAGTTGTAGTCAGTTATAGTTGTGTGTGGCAAATTACTTTCCAAACAGACAACACAAAGATCCAACATAATAAATTACTGTTATCATCCTTATCAGACAGCCTTTGCTTTTATGAAGCCATGTTAAGACAAAGACAAAGACTTACCACGTGTCTTTGCTCTGTAGCTCTGTTCCAGTCTGACATAGACTTGCATGATAGGCACATGCTGGATCTGAATTTGCAACCCAAAACTGGTCTGGAACAACATGTGAAAGGATGAAGCTTGAAATATGTTGACGTCACCTTTGATTAAAAAGAAGTACATAACAGTTAGATCATTTACTGATGTCATTGCGTAAATGTAGTCATGAGTTTCATTCAGAGTTTTTTTACTGTTTTTTTATTGTGTGACCCACCTGAGTGGTATGGCAAAGTGATGGTCTGCATATTCTGCTTCACTGTGCCCTCAGAAGTGAACATTAATACCTGAATAAAAACAGAAGTCATCATTAGAGTGTTGCAGATATCCGTGTGAATTGATTGATGACTACGGTCTTCTTAACTGATCGGCTTTAACTCACATTGTTTCTGTCATTGTTCAGCACGATTTTAAGGTTCTTCAGACAAGTGTCAAACTCTTGGCTTTTACATGGTACCAACTGGGCCCGGATGGTAAAGTTTGGACTTGCAACATTCTGAAATATATAGTGTGAGGGCAAATAAATTATTTTTTTCATCAGCAGATTAATATATTTTTAAAATGTAATACTGGAAAGCAATGACTTATTCACCTTGCTTTGCACTTTGGCTAGGGTGTAGTAACAGTCTCCGTGGAAGGTGTAGGTTTTCCCATCAAAGGTAGTTACATGGGAACCCTCTTCGACTGCACAGGTAGCATGTGTTTGAAGGCTCTCACACGCCCATCTACCCTCAAAACATGTACTGAAACAACCCAAACAGTTTGAGTTTACAAAAACACATGATAAAGGAGATCAAATCATACATTCTGTTTGCATTATTAAACATGTGACATACCAGTTTTTTTCAGCTTGTCGGTAAACCTCGCTGGTGTTGTAGATTTTATCGTTTCGCTTGCACTGACATTCAGATTGAGCAATACATCCTCTCTTGGAAATATCATCAAACACAGTTCCTGAAGTAGACACATTTCATTTTCGAAGAGAAATTGCATGTTAGAGGTATTAAAAAAGTAGTAATAAGTAATAGTATTAATAAATGTGTACATGTAAACAGCACTAACCAGGAGGGCAGAAGCAGCCGTCCATTTTGTGGTCCTCACACAGTGAACTTGTGTCTGGGAGTGTGCATGTGTCAATGCAAGGGGAATAACTCTCTTCATAAACCATGTTGAATGGACACTGTTTAGCTGTGAAAACATGGAACAAATAAAATAAACAGAGGGACATGGGGATTTACAGGGAATTATCCCATAGCATTAAGAGTGGAAATAATGGCTTTCATTATTCCAAAAAAGAAAAATAGTGTGCATATTTTACTACACATTTAATGTTGTACTTTGCTAAATTCAGAATTACATACATTTAACAAAAGTTAGCTCTCCATTTCAAGCTAACATGATAATCACTTTGCTGTCATCAATATGACAGAAAAAGAAGACACCTTACTTAATTTACAGTTATATACACTTTCTACACATGTGACATTATCGCCTCAACTTTTGAGAAGGTGTGGAAAACTATGTCTTCACATCGGTGCAGTCACCAACTCTTAGGGTTTCAATCCCTAGGTGGCTAATGAGGTCATTCATGAATGTGTGAATTTTTGCAAAACAAATTTTTGAGCTCTGTTCTCTCATCCTACAATCTGAGAAAATAACTTTAAATAATGTTAAAACATTTATTCAGACTAAATTTTGAATGAGTAGTTTGTAAATTTTACTTATATACTGGTATCGTCTAAAATATAAACATGATAACAAATTGAAAAAAAAAGGACACAAAACGTTACCACAGAACTCAGGTGTCCTCCAGTTGGGAGGCTGCCCTCCCGCATGGGAACATTGTCGAGAGAACTCGGACAGTGTGCTGCAGCCACAGAAGTCACTTGTACTGTTGGTGCAGTCACACATGTCCTGTGCACAGGCCTGGATGTAAGGTTCAGGGTTAATCAGTTTGGTGCAGGAGCTCCAGGACTCTGAGTTCAACATCCTGTGACAGGTGGTTTCCTAAAAGGGAAAAAGAAATGGGTAATAGAGTATAAACAAGTAAAGGAGTGGCTGGACCAAATGGCTAAAATTTCCTCCCATGAAAGACTACGTTATAAACTGAAAGATAGGCAAGATATCTACATGAAAATGTAAGGCCCTTATGTTACGGCAAAGTAATGCGCTGAAGACTACAAAAAAAGAAATAGGTAATAGAGACAAAAGTGGCAGAAGGCTATATGTTCCTATATCACTAAATCTCTACTGCTAAAACTATAACTATATATATACAATAATACACTCACAAACTCCTTGCATGAATCTGGCACAGTCACAGCCTCCAGTGATTCATCTTCCACTTCATTAGGGTCCTCACAATCATCATTTGGACGATGGACTTTCTGATTGTTGCCAAACTCAGTGGGGCTGATTTTGCGTCCTGCATGATTGTAATTATAGTTAAATGTCAAAAAAAGATACAACGGATGACTGAATAGAAGATACTCTGAGGTTTGTGTTTCCTAATACATTATATAAATATATGCTTAAAGTCGGCAACAAACCATTAAGAATGAACTCATTGTAGACAGAAACACCATTGAAGTCTCCACAAAGTCCACAAGTACGATTAGCATAGTCACGATTGAGTTCCACCTACAACAGACAAGACGCGGTTCAAGGCCATTTATTTGTCTTTGTAGGGCACAGTGGATGCATAATGGAGTGAAAGTTGTAATTCCTTTGTGCACATAAGACATAGCAGATAATGAAATTTAGAATAAAGGAATAATATAGAAAGAGATAAAAAGGGTTACATTTTCTTTTTTTTTTATTTAATACCACTATGTTTGTATTGAAATGATAAAAAGCAAATAAAATGACTGTATTGTTATTTCAACATGAAAGACCAACCAGTGTAATTTGATACTCATCATGTGAGCTCTGAACTTTCAGAAATTACAGTCCTTATTGCGCTTTCTTTCTGTTAGTATACATGGTTATTCTGCTCAAATATGGAGCCAGGACGGTGACTTTAAAAAATTGGCATCCCAAAAAATAAAATTTGCCATTGGAAACCAAAACGCAGTACTGAAAAGGAAACATTGCTTAAAACATTTGTATTGGAAAACAGTTGTATTTGGCATGAAACAAGTAACTCATTTAAAATAATGAAAATCCTCATAATTATTATTATATGGATTTTTTTTTGTATTTTTCAACATGACAATCTTTCGTTGAGAGGAGGAGGTCTGGAGGGAGGGCGGCCAAGTATGATGCAGTGGTTTGCTATAATCTTGCATAATCGGCTAACTGAAGAACGTACGGTCTCTTTTTCCGGACCGCTGTACCGCTCTTGAAGCTGCTGGGCATGGTGGCATTACTAAAATGTGACTGTTGCACCGGGAAACTTCACAAGGTTTCATGGTGAAATAAACATGTAAATAGCAAAAGAAAACCAGAACACTTGCAGTTTTGGAGTTCCTCTACTTGCCCCTCCCCTCAGACCCCTCCTCTCAACACCAAAACAGTGACAGAAAGCTTAAACTGAAAATCAGTGACACTGAAAAAAAACTGACATTGTAAAAAAATCTGTCACTGAAAAAAGAGTGACATGAAGAAAAAATCTGAAGATTGTCATTGAAAAATACAAAAAAATCCCAATAAAATAAAATAATAAACGTGAAATATCAAGTTTTTGAATTTTAGGGTTTGCCAAGCAACACATTTCTAACTTGTTGCTCAGTGTGGGTTTATCTGTTTTATTTGTCCAGGTTTTGAAATACTACCCCTTAGTTCTCACAGTGAGCACCACAAATATAATGAAATAACAAATAAAATTAAAAAAAACATTTACCATGATTGCATCGTCACCATTCCATATGACAACAATGCCGATTTTGGATTGGAGCTTGAAGTAAACAGCATTTCTTTCTACTTGTACCCCTGCCTGGTTGTATGGCATTTTGACACTAGCAAAGAGAGAATGTTAGCTTATTTATAATGCACAAATATCTGAGAAAAGGTTTTCTATTTTGGGGATAAAATAATTCCCTGGTCAGTATAGGCTTTTACTTACGGAAGGTCATTCACAGTGACCAGGCTCTTGGTGAGGTGGAATGAAAAGTCCCCGATGGTGACCTCCACATAACTGACTGTAGGGTCTCCACCATCCTCTGTCCTCTTCATGTGCACTGAGAACTCCTGATAGGACTCGTGGCAGTCGGAGGCCAGGTTGTATTTACACATACCAGGGAACTGATACACATCACCATCAAATGTCTTGAAATGCTCTCTGCCCCACGTGCTGCAGACGTTGCCAACATGGTTGCGAGCTGGGGAGGCAAAATGAGAAAAATAAATGGTACCAGCATTATTGCAATTTCTTCATATGCACAGAACTACTATAAATAAACAGAGTTATGTCTTATTACACTGATACAAAATTTCCAGCCTATACCTCCTAAGCATTATTTAGGAGTGTAATAAACAGTTGGACTAACATTTTCAGAATAACAGATATTAGTGATAGTGCCGTACAGTATACATGCATATGTGGCAAGCAGAAAAAAAACATTCACACAGTGCTGAAAACTGTTACACAGAATCTAACATATCCTTCTTACGCTGTCTGGCATGGACATTGATGACACCGGCAACAGACAAAGCAAGGAAACACAACCACAGAAATCTCCACTTCATTGTTGTCAAAGTGAGTTTGCAGGTAATAGTCGGACTGCACTTGACAGCCCTTTATATTCAGTTTTTTCTTTGCTCCCACCCTTCTTGTGAAGTAATTGTTAATAGATATGGTAAGTGCACATGGCAAGAGTGTAAGGGATGTTGTATTTTATATGTCTTCCATATCCTTTGATCAAACAAGCAGCTCACAGCATTTCCAGAGAAACTGGCAGCAATTGTTGACATTGCACATATCTGTTCCAGGTTTTCTCTTTAACAGGAACTTATTTTAGAAAAAGAAGTCTGAATTTTACTGAGCCGTTATAAATCATTTATCAATTATATTATTAATGGTTCAAAAGAGTAAGACATAATACAAAACATAATAAAACATACAACACACTGAGTTACAACAGAAAAACTGAAAGAAATGTAGACGTCTCTATATTGATGGTTACAGTATGATCTTAATGCAGGAATGAACCAACAACAACCTCTAATGTTTAAGTCAACTTACTTAAGCAATGCTTTTAACAAATCCTGCATCATGTCAGCATGTAACTGTTCTTTTTGCATCAGTCCATGATTTAGGATTGAAGGGTTTCAATGGTGTTTCTCAGCAAGGTCATCTAACAACTCAGTAAACATGCTCCTTGGATAATGAATGGGGTGGACAAAATATTAGAAACATCTTTCAAATATAATTCACTCCAGTACACCCTAAACCCTCTACCTCAATAATGAAGTTGAATTAACACCATTCTGACAGTAAAAGTAAAATGTATAGCACAGCTGTTGTATTGGGTTACATTATACAGATGTACTGTAATACTATCAGTGAGTGCACAGTATCTAACCATACAGGTATCTTATAGTTCGCTAAGCGTTCAAACTACTTGTCAGGAGACACTAAAGCTGATATTACAAAAAATAAAATACATTATAGAAAAATGCTGCATGTCGAACAGTAATGAAACAGACAAACCTTAACCACTGCCTGCACTGAAATCCCAAAGTCCAAAATCTGCACATCCTAAATATAAACCTATTTTAAGACAATTTGGTCAAAAGTAATTTTGTCAATTTTTATTTGTATTTCAATTTATTGAAGTTATTTTTGTTATCTTTAATATCTGTTTGTTTAAATCATAAATTATGTAAATTCATCTTAAAACATGACTTTCTGCTGGTTTGCAGGATTAACAAGGTTAATGGCCATAATATTAAAGTTATTTATGATTATATTATATTGTGCTTCAAGTTGTTAAGAGTTACAGTTAAATGTTGTAAGACAACCTGTTGCATGATTTAAATTAAATTATGAATGACACAGGATGTGATCACAGTCAATGAAAAAAGACGCTTTTAAACATTAGATTTTATTCCTCTTGCATAAAGCCTGTGTAGTATTCTGACACACTTCTTTATTTGAACCACCTCTGCGACATTTAAGATTGTTTGTGGAATGATAAGTGTTAAAAGGTAAGTAGTGTTACATCAATATTCAGGGTAACTATGGGTATTGAATGTCCTCCCTGAGTCAACACAATCCATGGTGTCACAGAGAACTACACCTTCTTTGTCATCAAGCTCTCCGTCTGTGTGAGAGGTCCAAAGCCATGTTTGCTCTTGGTGGAGCTCACACATTACATTACATTACATTACGAGTACATTCAGGGGCGCCTACTGTAATTTGTTACAACTAATTTTATTAGTTTTTGTCAAAGTATATTTATGACTTGACTGAAACTGAAAAGTAAAATTTTGTTTAAATCAAAATAATCCTTCAGTCCAAGAAAAAAAATTACATTCACATAAAGTAAAAATATTGTTTATTATA